ATTTAAACGATCTGCGGAAAAACGGCCCATAGGCTTATGGGCCTTTTTCCGGGGATGGCCTCATATGGATTAAATAGATAAAAAATATCCTATCTCCAAAGTTGAACCAAAATTTACATTTTCGCAAAATGTTATTGAAATAGGTTCAGTGGTTTCGGATATTAGCTTGGACAAACACCGTGATACAAGATTTTTAACATGTATTGGAAAATGCAAATACAAAACCAATGAATAAAATTCGTTGTTACGAGTGGCAAATTTATAATAAATAAAAAATATATGTGTACATACAAAAATGTGTAATTTTCTGATTCTTTCCATTGTCGATTGATAGAGAGATACTAAGAGGTTACCTACTGTATTTAATACCCGGAGAGATATTTAGTTGGGTAAAAGGGAATATCATAATAAAAGTGTGATGTGATAACAGTATTAAAATTGTTATATTTTATATTAGAAATATTAATTAATATCAAATACACTGCGCTCCAAAATTAACGCATAATTTTAAAATTATTATTTTGAGTTATAATGAAAAAATTTTTGTTTGTTCTTTTCTGCTTCATGGTTGTTTTAGAACATCTTAAATAAAAAACTTTTCTTTTTTTACAAAAAATGTATTGAAATTAACAATATAACATCATAAATCTAAACATCTAAACAAACAACTGATCTAAACAAACCAACATTATAAATTAATGACGAAATTGAAATTTTTGAAATTTGAAGAAAATACTAGTACCGTGTACTAGTATCGAGTATTGCCTCCTCTGGTAGTTATTACTGCTTGACAACGATCTCTCATACTGAGAATAATCGTTCGATTTCTTCTTGATCAATTTGATCCCAAATTTCAACCAACCGCAAAAACAGCTCACCCAATGTGTTTGGTGCATTAGGTAGTTGTCGTAGTCGTCTGCCTATGATGTCCAAAACATGTTCTATTGGGTTGAGGTGAGGACTTCTTGCAGGCCAATCCATGGCAGGAATTCCAACCTCCTGACGATACTGCTGCACAATTATTGCCGTGTGTGGCCTGACATTATCTTGCATAAGCATGAAATTATCCCCAATAAATGGTGCAAATGGCACGGCATGCTCTTCTAAACTGTCTGTTATATACCTCTGCGATGTAAGCCGACCGCGATCTATTCTAACTAATTCCACACGAACCTCTAA